ACGCGAGACAAAGTAGACTCTAAAGTTTGCCCCTGCACTATAGAGCTACTCAAGATCCTACCCATATCCTCCTTAGCTGTACACTATATAAGGAGGCTAGGATAAAGATGCAGGAGGCGAGCAAGGACCCCCTATCGCTAGCCTTCCTGCTAAACACGAGCGTAGGCATACAGGCTACTATTGCCTTTATTGAAGAAACTAGGGCTGCAACACAGGCCTGGCACAAAGGAAACCTCGAGAACTAGGGCAACACCTATACTAGGTGGCCTCGCCCTACACCCACCCTACCTCTCTCTTTTACCCGCAAGACCCCCTTCTACCTCCCTCTAGACTAGGCTACGAGCCTCACCTCGATTTAGATAGCCCCCTCCCCCACCTACACCAAAGTGATAGCACTACGTAGATACTTGCGGGCCTAGCCTGCACGTCTTATATAGCCCACCGGCTGAGACAGGACGTAAAACCAAAACAATAATAACAATAATAAAGGAAATCTGACGAACTATAAGTTACTAGTACGAGAATACTACTAGAAGCACCTAGAGAAGCGAGGGGGAGCCCCTTAAAGAGAAAGGAATAATTAAAAGAAGAATCGTAGTAATCAGCCTATAACCCGCCTAGATTAGTTAACAGTCTAGATAGCGATAGTTCGATAGTAGGAGGATTAGTACTAGGGGCCGAGTTCCCCGCAACCTACTCTTTTGCGCGCTCTAACTCTTTCAGCACCGCTAAATCACGATAAGTAAACGAATGCTCTTACTCTTTAGCCTCTAGAAGCTTAACCTTTCTTTAAGCTAATTACGCCTCTAATTAGGCAATCTTAAGACGCTTCTAACGCTTTTCTCGCTAAACCTTCTCCTAATCTTTATTAGAAATAAAAAGGCTACACTCCGCCTTTATAGTAATATAACCAGCGTACTGCCTAGACGCTGTATTAATAAAATAATAAAGACCCTTCTCTTTATAATAGTCGTACTTAGTAACTATTTCTAAGCTAGCGCTTTCTACCTTTACGGCACGAAACTAGCGCTTCTTAGTTGAAGTGTACTTCCGAGGCCGACGGGGAGGTTGGACCTTAGGCATAGTTAGGAAGGCTACGAGGTAGAGACAGCTATAATAAGTGGACAGGCTCTAACCTTATATGCAGCCGACGTCTCAACACGCGGCACGGGAAAATAATATTCTAGGGTATCGAGACGATAGCCCTAAGAGAGGAGGTAATGTTATAAGTAATAAGAAGGATTCTCTTCTTAACGAGTGATAAGATGGCTGAAGGCCTATAGACGTCCACGTTAGAAAGTAATAATCATCGCGGGGCTAGGTTACGTGATGTGCTATCCCGCTAAGAGCAACCATCTGAGGGATGGTAGGGTGCCTTGGGATGGCAGCCATCCCCAACATCACAACTATCCTAGGGATGGCAAGGAAGGAAGGGATAGCAGGACTGGAAGCAATGAGGATATAAGGATGGATGGATTTCATTATTACTCTCGTTGTGGTCAACTTAAATTGTACTTTCTTACTAGTATCTTTACTTAACAAGATTATCATAAGTTAGTCTATCAAATAGATTAGTCTTGTTAAACTCTCCTTAAGCACGCCAACTCCACTGCATCGCCAGACAAGCCTCACGGAACACTAACGTAATACTCACCTGCCTTAGTGCGGACCAGGATAGAGAAGTATAGACCCATACCCCGTGTAACAGAAGGCATTTACGAGCGCAGCTAAGTAGTAAGCTAGTTTAGCAAATAGCTTTTCTATAATTTAGTTAGCTACTCTACTAGTTTTAGTATAGTCTCTAAAGACGTCTAGTAGCTCTAATAGCTTATTTTAAGCTATATAGGATTCTTCTATTATAGAGGCTTAAATGTTGGAATAAGGAGGGTGCTACTTGTTCTATAGCTAGCTCAGAGGTAGAGTCGTCTACTTGTCTTGCGATAGACTCAGAGGTAGCGAATCGATAGGTTCTAGGATGAAAAGAGAGAAATGCTAGGGGAGAGAGATTGAAGAATTGGATTGATCCGATCTTATCTTGTTGTCTGCACTAGTAGTCTGCTCTGTGCAATCTGCTCTGTGCAATCTGCTCTGCTTTCTATCTACTAGCTATTCTACTACTATATATATTAGCTGTACTAGATTCTAGAAGAATCTATCTAGTAGTAGATTACGTAGCTATAGAGGTAATAGATAGATAAATTGTATAGGGATTGGTTGACTAAAGAATCCGAGTATCGTGCCGAGCACCCGGATTATGTCAGAGATTAGCTGATTAGCTTATATCTCTAACATTAAAGAATAAGGTCTCTAGCCTAATAGATTACCTATTTAGAGTTCTTAGCGATTAGTTTTACGCTAAAGGTATTCTAGTATAGGTTTCTACCTCTATAGGAAGTCTCTAGTAAGAAGTTTACGTATCGTTTATTTAGTAGTAGTATTAGTATTCTAAATATACTTAGTGTTAGTTAGTTTTAGGTAGGGGTGGCTAGAGCTGTCTCTAAGTCCATTTCTCTATTAGTTTAAGCCTCTAGCCCTAGACTTGTAACGGCGCAGGCAAGACTACTCGGATTAGTATCGGCGGCAGTGTCACTCAGAGGCATATGGGAGTGCGTAGAACATCAAACGAGCCTTGATTCGAATAGACACCTATAGGCCTTGTACGAAAGGATATCAAAAATCTATCGAGCTACGGTATGGAGAAGGTGGGGTTTTATATCAGTAGATCTGCCCTCGGCTAGTGCGCGCTCATGTTTAGATCCCTTTCGGATATCAGTTTAATGTGTACTCGAACCGTTACACTACCCCCCCCCTCTATTAATAGCTCGTCCCGTAGCTGTTGAAAAATTTTCAATGTTTGTTTATTTGTCTATTTACTTAATGTCGTTATCCTTCTATGTAGGGTCTCGGCTAGGCCCCAAATAGCCTCCGGGCCAAGGAGAATCCAATCAGCACGTAATATCAAATCCGTTTGCTCACTATGTATATCAACAGCGCGCGTCCATACTTGCTCTTACTAAAATACTAAAAATTTTCTACCCCTCCTATACACACACACACACATATACATATACATATTATGCCGTTGCGTTACCCTGCTAGCGCGCTTCTAGAGGCGTACCGCCTCATCTGTCTTCGTTCAGTTCGTGCCTTCGCGCGCGGAGTCTATAATATAGACTACTGTTTCAGCGCTAAGGGGTTCAAGAAGTGTAATTATTGCACTTAGTAGAAGAAGAAGTGCTCCCCTATAAGTTTTTCTAAATCCTTTTAATTATAAGACGTTACTAACTCTAATAGGTTCTGGAGTACGTCGAGGCCGAGTTCGCCGTTTTTCTCGCGGCAATGGACCTAGTAGCTGCTGCCCGCTATGGTGACGAGCCGGATGACGACTAGTACGCTGCTAAGTAGCGTCTCGAGTCCGCCGCCCTAGATCTAGCTCGCTAGGTCTAGGTGACAAAGAGCCAGAAGAAGGAGTTGTCCGTGGTTGGACTCCTCTCCGCCACGCACTAGGTGCTGGTGGAGATTTGAGATAGTCTGCGCCAGCTGGAGGGCCGTGTAGAGGCGGTGGAGGCGGCAGTAGAGGCGGGTGGGACTTTTGTCCTAGACTCTATGGACATTAGTTCCGGGGTCGAGTTGGAGAAGGAGTTAGAGGAGGAGGGGGAGACAGAGGAAACTCTATTAGTAGACCTCCGTAGTCTGGAGGATGGGGCAGGGGAGTCTTCTAACTCCCTCATTAATTAGGTGTTCGGTATAGTGGGTGGTTAGGTTAGGTTTATTTCTAGGGCGTTCCAGTTTTTGTTCTATACCTATTTTAAAGGATTATTTTTCTTTTCCCTATATTTAATTATCTTGCAGTAAAGTTATATCCTCTATATCTTACTCTCATACCTAGATCCACTTTAATAAGGAACGGGGAGATCCTAGTTTTATTAGATTTTAGTTATAGAAGGTCTTGAGTTTATGGGAGGCCTCTATAAAGTTTAAGGTAGAGTACTAGGTAGGGTCTAGATTATATCCAATCTACCTTACCTAATACTTAAGCTTTGAGCGATACACTTTACTAGCTAAGACTTCTTTAACTTTCTACTCTTCTACTCCTTAGATAGGGGTTCCTAACAGCTTAGGGGCTTCTTGTTCTAGTAAGGGGTCCTAAGAATTCTTATAGAGTAGTTCTAGAGCGAAGACGTTATAGATTTAGAACCCGTCTGGTAGCTATAGCTAGTAGAAATTTCTTACCTTCTTAAGCACCTTAAAAGGTTCTTCCTATTTATCGGATAACTTACGGCTTGGACGATCTATAGCGAGGTTCTTAGTATCTAAGAATACTTAATCTCTAACTTCCTAGTTAATAGAATATTAGTATTAGTTCACTACGGTTCGCATCCGATTCTGGGCCTTTTCTATTTATTCTTTAGCAACTTTCTAGGTAGTATGCATTCTAGTAGCTAGTGTAAGGGCGTCTTTATAATTAAGTTTATCTATAACTAACGACTTACTCTTTTTCTAGTCCTAGTCCCAGCTCAACCGTAGTTCGGATCCGTATAGGATCTAGTACAGGGATATACCAATAGAAGAGTGTAGTAGGGAAATGTAGGCTCTATTAATTAGAGAGAGTAGTCTACTCTAGTTATCCTAGTAGTAGGCTACGAATGGTCGTAGTCTCTAATTAATATACTTATTTATAATCTTAGTTTAGCTATTAGTCTCCTTATAGTAGGCAGTAGATAGTTTTACTTTAATACCTAGAATCCGACAGAATTTAGACTAAAAACTAAAGATGAACTAAGGACCTCTATCTAAGATGATAGTTTCGGGTGTATAGCTAAAACGGTACACCTACTAAATAAATAACTTAGCTATACCCCTTATATTAATAGTTTTATTATAAGAAATAGAGATGGCTTATTTAGATAGACGGTTGATAATAACTATAATTATATTATAACTAGATCTGTCTTGGGGGAATTCCTTAAAGTCGATATATAAGTACTGCATTGGCCTATTAGGAATAGGAAGAGGATATATCATCTCTAGAACTCGGGTCTATCTTAGATGTGCCTTATAATATGCTATACAGTTTCGTACGTATCTTTTATAAGAAGATTCGATACCTTTCTAGTAGTACTTTAGAGTAAGCAATTGATAAGTTTTCTTAGCACTAGGGTGCGCTAAAGAAATCTGATTATAAGCTTCCTAGATAAGGTGGGTACACAGAATAGAAGTAGAAGGAATATATAGACGGTCATTATATAGAAGCAAGTCACCGTGGAGTTAGAACTTATCTAAGAGAGTAGTTCTTTCTTCTATAAAGGAGGAACGGTTAAGTTGTAAGATAGCTTTAATAAGTTTAAGAGAGTCTAGGGCCATTAGCTCTAAGGTAGCTTCAACTATTCAAATAGAATAGAGTTAAGTTCGCAGTTATACTACGTAGGCCTGAGCTAGTTCGGAGTTAATCTAGTTGTTAAGTTAGTGCGGTCCTAGTAAGACCCGCGACCTATTGTTAGTTTGAGCTATTTTAATATTTTCTATATCTTGTTCTTGTTGGGAAAGGATGTCTACGCGAGCATTACTCTTTCCGGGCGTGTATCAGATATGGAAATTAAAGGGGGCCAGCTCTTCAGCCCACCTAGCTTATCTAGCATTTAGAACCTTAGTACTTATAAAGTATTCTAGGGAATAGTAATCTAAGTATACATTAACCTAAGTTTAAGTTAATAGAAGCTCTAGTCGCTATTTACTAAAAGTAGTAAGAATCGTAAATAGTTCTTTATTATAAATCTCCCAATTTAGTTCTAATCCTAATAGGACCTTACTATAGAACGCTATAGAGCACCACTTGTCATTAGGTTATTTTTAGGATAATACGCCAGCCACGACGCCGTCGGAGGCGTCAGTCTCTATCTTAGTACAGTCACGTCTCAAAAGTCTGTTCCCCCGAGCACGGGCCTACCCCACCATCCCAATTTCCTCAGACTAGTCTCTTCTTCAACACCATGTAACTCCATCTAAATGAGATCTTTTTGCGCAGAAATTTCGCGTAATCGAATGCCAGGTAGTGAATTATCAGATGCCCAAAGGATATATATTTTGGCCCAAGCGGAGGGTGGATGCAGCACGTCAGAAATCGCGACGCGTCTGAGCTGCACGCGCCGCGCAGTAAACAAAATAATCCATCAATGGGACACCGAAGGAACCTACACCAAGCACGATCGGATGGGCCGCCCACCCAAATTAACTAGTAGGGATCACCGACAGCTGCTTCGAGCCGTAAAAAAAGATCCCAAGATCGAGTACCGCGCGCTGTATCGCGAGGCCAACCTATGGGACTCTGACTCCGGCACCTCCACCGTCTCTCGCGCCACAATTCGACGAGCACTTGCTCGAATGGATTACCATAAGTTTAGAGCGAAGCGCAGGCCACTTATTACCCGGATTATTGCCAAAAAACGCTT